TTCTCCTTTTAGCAAGTTTAGCTATGATAGAAACTAGGCTTGGAAAAGACATGAAAGATGTGAACTTTCCTTTGCTGACAAAATCCTATAATATGTGATTGAGGACATTATTTTTAATAATTAGAAAAGGAAGTAGAGATCATTAAAAGCCAATATGACAGAGTCATACTGACTTGCCCAGAGTCACAAGAAGTAAATAGAAGATTTGAGATTCAGATTCAAAGGTCACTGCCTTTTTGGATAGGTAATTAGACTGTGGAGGTAGTGGGACAGTGGATAAAGGGCTAGCCTTGTAGCCAGGAAGAACTGAGTTCAAATCCTGCCTGTAACATATACTGTGACAATGGCCAAATAAATCATTTCCTCTCATTCCTTTGGGCGAATTTTAAGACTAGAAGTTATAGATGAAATACCTATGGATATCAGTGGAATGGTTTTCCACAATGAGATTCCCCACTCCAATTGAATTGTAGGTTCAAACCAAAGAACCAACAAAAAATTAGACTAGTAAATTAAAGGAATAATGGATGTATAAATATATGTATATCTAGATAAAGTTCCACAAAATGATTTTTCAAAGACTCTCATGCTGTTTGTGAATCAGAAACAAAGGAAATATGGTCTTGAAGGTGAGTATGCTTTTCTGCCCATTATAAATGAATTTAATCAATTTTTAAAATGTGATTGTTTTTGTTGAGATAGTTAATAAGTTTATAATAAAGATTATGTAAAAAATAAACCCACCCCAACTTCCTCTAGGAGTTACCAAACCTCACCCAGAAAAGAGAAAAAAAAAAGACAGAAACTTTGGTAGGCCCCAGTTTACTTTCTTGTGATAAGGAAATACATAATAATAGCCATATTCAAAGTTTGGTCTTATAATTATAGTACAAACACGAAACAATTTATTTTACCCTAAAAGTCTGCCTGCTGATATAGTTTAAGAGTACATATGAAAATATGACCCACGTTGCTATTTATTGGATTTTGTTTTCTTCATCTGGGGCATATTTAGGCTTTATATCACTGGTAAGAAAATAGATGAAAAAACCTCACTACATTTATAAAAGACCCAAGATGGAAAAGCTGTGGTCAGATACAGTTTGTGTTGTTGTTTAATAGTTTCATTCTGATTCTTCTTGTTTGGTTTTTTGAAATAAATTTTTATTGATATTTTCTGTTTCTTACGACACCAAAATCACCCAAATATCCTTCCCTCTCCCTCTCCCAGAGAGCTATCTATACAACAAATACTGTTTTTCCTTGATTATTTCATGGACCATGTACCTTAAAGATCTTTCACTGGCCTCTAGCATGCAAGTGGAATTTTAAGAATGAGGAAATCAAAACAACTCATTGTCATATGAAAAAATGCCCTAAATCATTATTAATTAGAGAAATGCAAATTAAAACAAACTTGAGATATCATTTTACACCTATCAGATTGGATAAAATGATTGAAGTGACGAATGTTGGAGGGAAAAAATTGGAATGCATTCATTGTTAGTGGAATTGTGAACTGATCCAACCATTTTGGAAAGCAATCTGGAATTATGCCCAAAGAGTCATTAAACTGCTTATGCCCTTTGACCCAGCAATACCAGTATTTGTAGTGGTACTTATACTACCACTACTATTTCCAAAGATGATTAGGGAAAAAGAAAAAGAACCTATATGTTCTAAAATGTTTATAGCAGTTCCTTTTGTGCTGGCAAAGAACTGGAAAGTGCCCATCAGTGGGGGAATGGCTGAACAAATTGTGGTACATGATTGTGATGGAATACTACTGTGCTAGAAGAAATGACCAGTTCAATGATCTTAGAAAAACGTGAAAAGACTTGCACAAAATAATGAAGAACAAAATGAACAGAGCCAGGAGAACATTGTATACAATAACAGCAATATTGTTTTAAGAATTACCTTGAACAAATAAGTCATTTTGTCTATTATAAATACCCAATTAACTATAGAGGACATAGGAAGAAAGATGTTATTTGCATCCAGAGAAAGAACTGAAAAATAGATGTATGTATAGAATTATTTGTGTATGTGTGTGTAGTGTGTGTGTATATATACATATATATGTGTGTATATATTATACATACATACATAACATACGTATGTATTTGTGTCTAATGGTAGCTATCTCTAGGGTGGAAGGGGAGGAAAGAAAAAAGAAATTTACATGATAATTTTATTATATATTTAAGAGGAATGGAAAATTGTATATAATAAATATGCAGTTTGTGAGCAATCAACTTTTAAAAAAAATTATACTATGTTATAGAAATGCTTGTTTTATTCCATAAATTAAAAAATAAAATTATAAAAAGAATTATGTAGAAGATGTTGATATCTTGTTCAGTAAAACTTCTTGAAAGCAAGGAATGTGTAAAAACATTTATCGCACTTAGCATACAGCTGTGCACCTACTTGATCATCTATTCTAACATTTACCTGAATAGAAATCCTTATAACATCTCTACCATCCCTATACACATGCATTTTTTTTTTTAGTCTAGACGTGGGACTTCATCAGCATGGATAGTTTGTTCATGGTTACATAGCCATGTAGGTGTGACAAGCAGCGCCTGAACTGACATCTTTAAGATCTAAGGCTAACCTTCCATCCACCATTCTCTGTTGCATGTCCAGTTATTCCTTCACCCCTCCCCCATTGGAACATCAACAAATAATTCATTTCAGACAGTAAATATAAGTTGAATGTATATATTTGATAAAAGGAATTCTACAAGCTCCCACCGTATTGCTAATGGATTCAGATAACTTTTTTTTAGATTTTTTTCCCAATTACATGTAAAAAATTTTTTTTTAATATTCATTTAAAAAAAAATTTTGAGTTCCAAATTCTTTCCGTTCTTCCCTCCTCTCCCCCCTCCTTGAGAAGGCAAACAATTTGATATAGGTTATACATGTGCAGTCATGTAAAACGTATTTCCACAGATAGCTTTACTTTAGATTTAGATTTGTTTTATTCTCTTGCAGTCGAACAATTCTCGCACTTTTGAACCGCCAGCACGTTTGATACCTATCTTCTGTGGCAAATAAGATTCTGGAATTTCAGAATTGTATCTTACTGTAAGTTATCATTTTGTATCCTACATTCCTCCTTATGAGCCACAAGGTTTGTTTGTTTTTTCAAACATATAAGTTGCTACTAGTTCATGATGTGCAACAGTCTCATTCTTCTTGCTTAGCAGAAGCAGATTGTATATCATAAGCCTCAAACTGGCAGCATCTAAACACATAGTGGTGGCTAATGGGCATCAGAGCTATCCCTCAAAACTCTTAAAGTAGCAACTGAGGGGCATCAGAAATCTCATCCATAGCCACTGCAAGCTCATAGAATCTAGAGCTAGAAGGGCTCTTATAGGTCATTTGGTGCAATCCCTTCATTTTGTGGATTAAGAAACTGAAGTGGAGAGAGGTTGGACTGTCCAAAGTCACACCCATACAGTAAGTGGCAGTGCCCTGGGATTCCAGTTCAACATGCTTTCAACCAAACTATGCTGCTTCAAATTGGATAGGCGGCAAGGAAAGATGTTCAGTTCTCATTTATAGCTATTTGCAGCAATGAGGATCAAAGCCAGTGTGAAGATGGGTTTTAGAATCACAAAATCTTGACGTGGGCCTCAAAAAGGACATCTGGTCCAGTTTGCCTATACCTGAGCAGGAATATATTCTCTACAACATCTCTGACGTAGGCTCATCCAATATCTGTGTGAAGACTTTCAGACTTACTGCCTTCCAAACATGCATATTCAACTTTATTGTTGTTCAGCCATTTCAGTTGTGTCTGACTCTTTGTGACCCTGTGGACCTCTGTCCATGGGGTTTTCTTGGCAAAGATACTGGAGTGGTTTGCCATTTCCTTCTCTAGTTACAAACAGAGGTTAAATGACTTGCCCAAGGTCACACAGCTAGGAAGTAAGTGGCACAGTGGATAGAGCACTAGGCTTGGCATCAGGAAGACTCATCTTCAGGAGTTAAATTCAGTCTCAGGCATTTACAAGCTGTGTGACCCTGGGCAAGTCACTTAACCCATTTGCCTCAGTTATTCTTCTGTAAAATGAGCTGAAGAAGGAAATGGCAAACCACTCCAGTATATTTGCTAAGAAAACCTTGAATGGGGTCAGGAAGAGTCAGACATGACTGAACAATAACAAACAACTTCCCAACTTCAAGCCCAGAGCTCTATCTACTGTGCTACCTGGCTGTCCCACTTTAGGACAGTTTTAATTGTTCATAAAATTTTCCTTACATTTAAACTTCCTTCTGCAACATCCACTCCATGCTCAGAGTTCTGCCCAAGTCAACAATATAAATGCTTCTTCGGGTACTAGGATACCTGGAGCACAAATCAATTTCAATTTTGGGGAAGATTTCACTGAACTTTGAAAGGTCTATTTATATGCTTCAATTCATTATATTAGCTATATCTCAGACAACTGAAAGGGCAGAGTGAGAAAATAGATTCCCAATGAGACATCTCTAAGCACACTGTAGCTTAATGTCACTCATATAGAAAATTGGACCAGAAAATTCAGATTTTTTGGTTTATAAAGTGGAAACTTGAAACAGTGTCAGGGCTAATGTCATTAGCATTTATTCCATTTTCCTGTTCAAATTTGCATGGTATAATGAGCAACTTTCTTCAAAGTGGGTGATTGATTAATTTACTTTATCTATGTGTTAGTGATCTCAAATACTAGGACACTTACCACCACTACCACCACCACCACCCCCCCTTCAATTTTTGTTGGAATCACTCAAAAAAGAAAGCAAAACGTCCCTGTGGAATCAAGACTTTTTTTTTTGATACTTGGTTCAACACAATGGAAACTGACAAACAAATGAACGTGTGTATCTGAAGTACGCCCAGTTATTCCTTGAGAAAGACATAGAGAATTTGTTTGTGTGTATGCTTATATGCAGGCACATAAATGCACAGTAGTCTGAGCATTGTCATATAATCTTACCGTATCACCAGGCTGTGGGCGCATCACAGATACCCGGTCATAACCTTTCCTTACCAGGATACAGAAGGCATCCAGTTTTCCCTGTAAAGAGAAAAAAATACATTGGCATGTAACTGATGATCACTGAATATGGATCTCTAGCCATTTTTCTTCAGTGATGGGGAATACACTGGACTGACAATTCAAGTTGCAGGTGGTGCTGTCATGATACTTTATGAGGAAACAGAGGGGTTCAATGTCTCTGGCTCCCTCGGTCCATTCTGTTGAGTTTCTAGTGACAATGGGCAAAAAATAATCTACTGTGAAAATTGCTGTAAGAAAATATAGTCATAGGACAGAAATGAGAGGTAGAAGGGATTTTTTCTTTCAATCACTGAGTACAGTTCTCTTCATTTTAGTGATGAGGAAATTTCCAAAGGGGAAGCACCGGAGGGACTTATCAGTCAGTTGATAAGCATTTATTAAGTGTCTGCTATGTGCCAAGCACTGTACTGATTGCTGAGAATACAGAGAATAGCACAAGATGGTATCGGCTTTTAAGGAGCTCACAGTCTAATTGGGGAGACACCATGCAAACTGCTGCACACAAACAAAATGAAGACAGGATAAATTGGAGATAGTCAACAGAAAGAGGGAACTAGGATTAAAGAGGATTGGAAAGGGCTTCTTATGTGAGGTAAGGTCATAGACCACAGAAAGTTAGAACTGGAAGGGCCCATTAATCAAGTCAAGAAGCATTTATTAAACACACCTAGTGGGGCAGCTAGGTGGCACAGTGGATAGAGCACTGGCCCTGGATTCAGGAGGACCTGAGTTCAAATCCGACCTCAGACACATAACAATTACTAGCTGTGTGACCCTGGGCAAGTCACTTAACCCCATTGCCTAGCCAAAAACAAAACAAAACAAAACACACCTAGGTATGTGCCAGACACTGTGCTAAGGGTTAGGGTTACAAAGAAAGGTGAAAAAAAGTCCCTTTTCTCTGAGGGCTCATTGTCTAATGGGGGAGACATGGACAACTATGCACAAATAAGCTATGTATAGGATGAATTGGAGAAACTCAGCAGAGGGAAAGTGCTAACTTTAAAGGGGTTCTAGAAAGGCTTCCTGTAGAACAGGGGTTCCCAAACTTATTTGGCCTACTGCCCCGTTAAAAAAATTATTCAGCACCTTACTGGAAATACACTTTCTTTAACCCTTTAATGATTTCTTTCTTTTCTTTTCTTTTCTTTTTTTGAAATTTACATCGTTTCAAAAAAATATATAAAATATTTTTTTCAAAAAATGATGCATCTTGGGGCAGCTAGGTGGCGCAGTGGATAAAGGACCAGCCCTGGAGTCAGGAGGACCAGAGTTCAAATCCGGCTTCAGACCAAACACTTGACACTTACTGGCTGTGTGACCCTGGGCAAATCACTTAACCCCAACTGCCTAAAATGTTTTTAAAAAATTATGCATCTTAAATTTAATAATTTATTATAAATTTGTGGGTTTTTTCCTGCCTTGAAATTTTTATGATACAATATTGGGTCATGTAACCATATAGTTTCATATTGTAAACAAATCATTACATGCACATATTACTGCCATGCATGCTGGACTTCCCAATAGTGCACAATATGCTCATCTGCCAACACTAGCTTGTTAAGACCTGTCAGGTGGACTTGACCACTGATCAGTTATAACTTGCATTTTGTGTGTTTATTTGGAAAATAACCTAATCACTATGATTTTAATGCTGTTACACAGATGAAACACATATGTACAGTTTTTCAAAATTTTCTTTTCTTATCTTCTTTCCTTATGCTTCCACCACCCCCTTGTTTTTATTAAATGCCCCAGAATTGCACCTGAGGCTATTACCACCCCCCTGGATTGGTCCAGGGCCCCCAGGTGATGGTGTTGCCCACTTTGGGAACCTGTGATAGAGGGTAAGGTTTTCTTGTTAGTTTGTTTGATTTTGTTTTGTTTTAGCAGAGATGTGAAAAAAGTCAGGGACTTTATTTTTTTGGTGGCTTGGTACACTTTGTACAACTACAAGTTGGTAAATGATTAATTAATAGATAGAGAATAATCGGAGGTGCAGTTTCCCAGACTAAATGTGTGGGAACAGTCTAAATCAGACAAATATATAATTCCTTATATATAGTAGGTGCTAAATAAGTGCTTGTTGAATAGAACTCAATCTTTTCTTTGACTTGTTTTGTGAATAGCTAGAAAAGCAGTAACTTGAATGTGCTTTTGAGATTATAGTTTGTGCTGAAGTAGCCCTTGCCAAGCTTGAGGACCTAGAGGTTGAGGAGCTTTCCAAAGCCAGAGCCAAAATCCATGATGGAGAGAATTTAGAGGTGCCCACCTATCAACTAAAAGGTTTTTTTTACTTTATCAAAAGAAATTGATGAATATGACCAAAGGTCCTGGTAACCCTTAAAAAAAACCCCATATCTTTAAAATGGAGCATATAATACCAACGTTAAACTTTCTCAACTTGTAGGTACTCACACACTTGTTGTACATTGGTTACTTATGGCACCCTCATTTTCATGGGGGAAATGCAAAAAGGCAATGGAGAATAAATTAAAGTCAGGGCTAGAAAGGTGGCCCCTAACAGATGTCTCCTTTTCCTTTTTTTCCACTGCTATAGATATGTAACTGCACCAGAGGGGGTATGGTGTTTATTTTACAATTAAACAAGAGGAAGGGGGTTTTTCTGAAACTTTACTTAGTACTCTAACAATCCCTATCATCACGAGAAGTTACAGAAACACTTCAGAAAAAGTCCTTTTGATATCCTTTCAACTTCTGACATCACTATAATGTCATCAAAATGCTGATGGCTGCAAACTTTCTTCTTGGCATGCAAAGTCTTAGGCTGGATTTCTCTGAAATGGCTAGGAAATTTTCCAAGGAGCCCTAAGGACCATTGTAGCTTCTACTGTGGGACCTGAAGTATAAGCAAGTTTTATCATCTCCAGAAGGAGATGTACTTAAAGTCAAAGTCTAATAGTAATGCATCAGATCACAACTGACTCTCCATCCTCCCTGCCACACCCTCCCCATCTCAACCATTTATTTGCCATTTTCTCTGCTTCTGTTGCTTTTGTACAACCAGATCTCCTATGACCGTGACCTGGAATGACTTAAGACACTCAGCTTTTAAACCATTGTTCTGGGGCTTTTGCTCTCTTGCCTAGAGTGTTTGTATGAGTACACATGGCCCACTATTACTAGCCAGTCCCAGACCTCAGACCATGCTTCACATTCCATCTAATTTTCCACCCTAGCCATTTCCTCTGCTGCTTTTTGTATACACCCTCCAACCTCCCTCTTCTAGGACAGAGACTTTCTACCTCAAGCCTTAAGGATAGTAACAAAGACTGCACATGTATAACCTATATCAAATTTCTTGCTTTCTTAATGAGGGAAGAGGGAATAGAGGGAAGGAAAGAATTTGGAACTTGAATTTTAAAAAATGAATATTAAAAATTGTTTCATATGCAATTGAAAAAAATAAAATATTAAGAATAATAATGAAATCAACACTACCATTATTTTTGGAAAGGGTTTTCATTGGACTATTCTATGTCTCTACTTATCATGTTGTTGTTTGTCCTTCATTTTTGAAGAAGACCAATGACATCACAGGTGATGTCTTGACTTGTGAGTAAATTGGATTTCAATGAGGCAGAGTTACACACAGTTGTCAGCCTCATTCTCTCTTCCAGTCATTAAAGTCCAGTGGCCAGACGAAAGTCAAGATGCCTAGGATGCAATGGGATGACCTTGGGTCTTCGATGTCTGACCAAGCTCTAAGCTCTCCACAGTGCCTGCCTCAGCTGCCTTCATGGCCACTGTAACAAATTGTTCTCATCTGCCCGTTCTGCTGGGGGAAGTCTTCACATGCTTGGGGTAGACACCAACTCACTGATAGGACCAATCAGTTACCCTCAACTTGGGTTAGCCTATCTGCTTAGGTGGTTGGTGGCTGCTGTGAATGCAAAAAGCTTCTTGGAACCACAGGTGAGAGTCAGGTTAATCAAGTGAACACCAAAATGGATGAGCAGTCATGTGAAGGGCTTGGCAAGCTCTCACATTAGAGATGCCAGTTCTCCCTGAACACAGGTCATCCTGTTACTTTCCAAACCAAAACACCCTTCCCCATCTACTTTTATGTGTTGTTTCTCTTACTAGAATGTAACCTTCTTGTGGTCAGAAACTGTCTTCTTTTTCTAGTTGTATTCTCAGTGTTAAGCCCAGTGTTTTACATATGGTAATTGCTTAATAAACAATTTTCTTTTATTCATTCATTCATCAGTCTAAGAAAAGAATACTTTCTTCTCAGAAGCACAGAATATTATAGCTGGAAGTGACCATAATTGGACACTGGGCTACATTGTACTAGACCCTGGGTTTACAAAGAATGAAAAAATTCCCACTCTTAAGTTTACTTTCTATCAGAGAGACAACATGTCTGTATGTGTTATATAAGTATGTGCATGCATGTCTACACAGATACATATATGTGTGTATATATACACATGTGTACATATGTGTATAATATTGTATAGGCTGTGTATATATAATATACACACATTTAAATTCAAAATAAATCCAAGTTAGTTAAGGAGGGAGGGAACTATCAGTTGGGGGATGAGGAGTGGCTTCATGTAAAAGGTGGCATTTGAACTACGTCTTAAAGTAAATAAATGATCCTATGAGGAAGATGTTAGGAGGAGGTGCCCTACAGATATGGGGGATGGTCAGTTCAAAGACACAGAGACAAAGGATGGAAGTTGTGTGTGAGGAGAGCAAGAAGACCCGTTTGTCTGGAACACAGAGTGTGCAAAAGTTAGATTGGTGTTAAATTGTGAATGGCTTTTAAAAATAAACAGAGCACTTTTAATTTTTTTCTGGAGGCAATAGGGGACCACTGGAGTTCATTGTGTAGTTGAGTGACATAGTCGTCTCTGAGTTTAAGGAGCATTATTTTAGGAGGTATGAGGAGGATGGATTGAGGTAGGGAGAGACTTGATGGAAGAAGATCAATGAAGAGGTCATGGCAATAGGGGAGGCAAGAG